TATGTTTGTGTGCGTGCATGTGTGCATGCACGTGTATGTATGTGCCTATGTGTGTATGTGTGCATGCGTGCACGTGTGTGGGTGGGGGTGTGTGCGTATGTATGTATGTGCACGTGCACATGCACGTGTATGCATGTGTGTATGCATGTGTATGTGCATGTGTGTGTGCGTGCATGTGTGCATGCATGTGTATGTATGTGCCTGTGTGTGTATGTGTGCATGTGTGTGTGTGTGTGTGTGTGTATGTAAGGAAGTGCTTAGAAAAATAAAACCCCGTCCATAGCATCCTCTGCCTCCTTGTTGTTTGGAGCAGCCCTGTGGGAGCCACTTTCTTATTCCTGCATCGGCCTCTGGCAGCATTCTTTCTCGGGGGCTCAAAACCTGTAAGATGACTCAGTCATTTTCCCCCAAGGTTCTTATCACTTTATGCTTCTTTCCTCTTTGCTATTCAGGACACTTTCTTGCTTCATCCTCAAATGTAAAGAAAGTGGGTTTTAGTGTCTATCACCCCTAGGACTGAATTCCTTATGAGCAGAGCAACCTCAGGCAGGTTTCATACCCTTTCTGCGTGCTGTTTTCATTATTAGTAAGAAGGGAAGGGTGGTGATGCCGCTTATGTCAGGTTCTTATAAAGCTCGGAACAAAAATACAAGAGGTGTACACACTGTAGGTGCTCTGATCCCCTCTGCTCCACCTTGAAGGGACTGAATTGTCACCAGGTGAATTAAGTGGGAGTGTATTGTGGAAATGTAGGCTCCTTGAGATTCTGTTCGGAACTGGGTGGGACATAAAATGAGCCGAGCTCCCCTCCGGGCACTGCTCTTTAGGGTGTGTCTGCTGCTTGTACTGGGTGAGGTGAGGAGGCACTGAGCGGTCATGGGTGCAGCTGGGCCACTCACCTCACACCAGGCTGCCCCTGGATGCCCCTGAGCCTTCCACTAAGGCTGACTTAGGCGAGGCAGGAGTGGGCCTGGCGGTGGGCTCACTCCAGCCCCAGAGCTGGGTCCAGGGTAGAGAGCGCAGCCAGATCCCAGGGCAGTCCTCCTGATTTATGCTAGAAGCTCTCTGCAAAAGACCAAGGCATTTAACCTTCAAATGCCAATTTCACAAAAGTGCAATGTAAGTACATTCAGCTACCCATCCTCAAGTCCTACTAGGCTAGGATTCCCATCTCTGAAACATGATGAAAAGGTTAATCAAAGACAAGGAGAAGATAATGGTAACGTAAAAGCAGCTAGTGTCCAGAGTATAACACCAGACACTTCAGATAGAAAAGATGCAGATACAGCCAAGAAACAGACAACTCAAGAGAAAGACAGGAAGCCAAGAGGCACGTCAAAGGTGCAAAATCCTAAAGGAGTTCATAAACATGCCTGAAAAGATACTCAACCCCACTTGTAATAATGCAAATCAAAACAATGTAAACAATTTTATACCCCTTAGTTTGGCAATAATTTTAAAAAAATCTGGTAACAGGAAGTGGCGGCAAGGCCGTGCGAAGTGGAACACTGCCAAGTGCTGAGATGGAGAGCAATTCGGCAAGATTTAGGTGGGTTGGAGATGCACCCACTCTTGGACCCAGCAATTCCATTTCTCCTCACATACTCAAGGGAAACTTTTACATGTATCAGAAGAGAGGCACCGAAATATTCCAGGAAGATTACTTGGGCATAGTTTGTGATAAGAGAAAATTGCAAACACTGCACATCACCAGCATGAGGGAATGGAAAAGTTGGTGAAATCATTTAATCTGATCTCTGCAGGAGTTAGAAGTCAGCTTAAATGACCTCCATCTCGATGTACCATTATGGGGTAAATGTCAAATGCAATTTTGGATGAAAAAAAAAACAAGCCACAGAAGACTGTGCAGAATATGCCACCTTTTATTTGAATAAAAACAAAGTAATTATGAGTTGTTATGATTGTACAAAGAAGTATTACATGTATAAAAACCTGCATGAAAAAGATACATGCCAACTTCAGGACAATGGTTAGTGCTGGGGGCAGGAGGGAGGAAAAATAGTGTGTAGGAGTAGATTTAGCTTTGTTTTGTTTTTTCGAGTGAAGGGCTGAACTAACTATGGTAAAATGTGTAGCTGTGAAACCTGGGTAGTGAGCACACAGGTGTCATTTTTGGTGTGTGATTGCAGTCTCTGATGCATGAAATAAGAACTCTGCAATTACAGACCAGCCCCACTCGGTCCCTTCATCCAGGGGAAAGTGCCGCACCTGGGGCTTCCATGGCCGTGTCTCCTTACAATGAAGCTCCGCAGAAAGGACAGCGCAAGCCCTTGTCTGGTGACGTTCCAGGTCCTGAGTGGCCTCTTCTGCCGCCTTCCCAGCCACTTCAGTGTTGTCTCCTTCCCACGGGTCCTCGGGGTCTGTGGGGGCTCTGGCTGCTGACCATGCTCTTCACGAAGGCTGCAGGTGTCTGCACGACATGTGAGAGATGTTGAAAATCCCAGCCTGGTCACCTGCTCCTTAGAAATGAGGTTCTTTTAAATGAGTGTTGAGTTTTGGTTGGGGTAGGTAATAGGCCCCTTCCTATTTCTCGATCCAGAGCCTCTGGATAAGTGAATTCTGAGCTAGCGTGGAATCTCTGTCTACCAGTAGTTTTGCTTTGTCAGGTGATGCGCAATATGATCCATCTGTAATGTGCATGTTTAACTTGTTCCTATTTGTTTTAGCTCACAGATGTGTACACTTCATCCCCATCGCTGAGTCGTTATTTTACTTCAGTGGAAATGACGGACTTCAGGTAAGAATGTGGAACGTTCCATGTTGGTCTCTTTCTCTGGGAAGCGACACCCATCACCATTTATCTAGAAGGAACTTTGAGTCTCAAAGGACAAAGGGAACTGATGATAGATAGAATCATAGACTGTTGGCTTGGAAGGGTCTTTGGACACCCACTAGCTCAACTCCCTGATTTTACAAAGGAGCAAAGTGAAGCCCAGATTAATTATATGCCTCAACAAGGTCACACAGAAGAGAGGAAAAACCAGTCCCGGGTAAACCATTCCTGTTTAACAGCAGATGCTCAAAATAAGCCAGGGATAGGACTAGAAATAGATCTCAGAGGGTGGCTGGGTGGCTCTGTCAGTTAGGCGTCGGACTCTTCATCTCAGCTCACGTCTCGATTATCTTGATCTCAGGGTCATGAATTCAAGTCCCACATTGGGCTCCACGCTGGACACGGAGGCTACTTAAAAAGAAAAAAACAGATCTCAGATAGTGATGTGCTGTAAATGATATAATCCATATACTAGCTCTTGCTTTTGAGGAACATAATTAATATAGGAGTTCATACTACTTGTATAATATTAAAAATATAAAGACATGTAATACAGGAAAAGTCTACCTTCTCCCTTCCACCCCAGCCTACTACCCTTGGATGTTGCATGTTCCAGTCGATTCCATACACATAGTACATTTCCTCCCTTCTACTGAATGGACTGCCATCCACTGTTTGGTGTGATTTCTTCTATATGTGTATTTACCACATATACTTTATGTACTAAACACGTATAGCCTATACATACACATACAGTTTTTCCTTTTACATTTCTTAATCTTAAATATTTTTGTCTCCGTTTACAGAACTTAGATAAGAGGTGTACATGTGATTGTCTTTTTTATTGCTAGAATAAGATTTAGGTGACAAAGCTGTATTATCCACTATTCCTAAGATACCTCTGGACCGTGACCATCACAGATAGTATTGTACTGAAATCCCCCCTCTCCAGCTATACATTTCCCAGACCATAATCTTCGTACACCTGAGAGGGGAAGCATGTAAAGCAGGTGGTAGTACAGCGGGATGGGACCAAAAGGGACCTGAAGTCTGAAACTGTCTCCAGTGGTGGGTTGCCTTGGCAACGACACTCTTCCTCCTTCTTTATGGACCCCCCACTGTGCATGTTACCTTATGGTGACCTCTCTGACATTGCTCATTTTAATCCCAAATTACTGGTATTAAAATGCCAATAGAAAAAAGCCCAACACATTTTCCTCCATGTACTTGCCCCCAACTTGCAATTTCAAGACAGAGCTAAGAAAGGAAAGGCATTCAACTGGAAGGGTTTTTCCAAGAATCCAGCCCCAGATCATGGGTCTAGAGGAGGTGGGATTGCATAATGGTTTGGGGTCGACCTTGGGGAAAAAAACATCAGAAAGTTGAGTCAAACATGGCTAGAAATCTGAAGACTTAATGTTAGAGAATTTGTTTTTAAAAGTTATTTGAGGGGCGCCTGGGTGGCTCAGTCGGTTAAGCGTCTGCCTTCGGCTCAGGTCATGATCCCAGGGTCCTGGGATCGAGCCCCACATCAGGCTCCCTGCTCCACAGGAAGCCTGCTTCTCCCTCCCTCACTCCCCCTGCTTGTGTTCCCTCTCTCGCTATGTCTCTCTCTGTCAAATAAATAAATAAAATCTTAAGAAAGACAGAGAGAGAGAAAGAGAGAAAGAAAGAAAGAAAGAAAGAAAGAAAGAAAGAAAGCAAGCAAAGAAAAGAAAGAGGTGCAGGCAAGAGTTTTAACAATGTTGAGTTGAGAAACAAAAGCCATTTCCCCCCAGAATATGCTGCCGCTAGTGGGCAGGAGACAGCCAGACCCCTGACAGCTGGGTTTGTGTCTCCAGGGGATACTGACCTCGGTCCTGCCCTGGCCATGCCCCTGCAGGAACCTGCAAAAATGCCCATTGGTTCATCACCTTCCGGGCCCACTCTAATGGTGGGCAGTGGAGGCAAAGCCCGCAGGCTCTCTGTTTTCCTGGAAATCCCTCCTTTCCCCCTCAAAATCTACCTGTAAGGTAAACTCCCCCGGTGGGTGACTGGACACGGTGGGATTAGGTTGGACTAGTGGGACTGAGTTAGGCAGGGCAACCCTCTCACTTCCAGAAGTCAGCTTCTGGTCATTGGCAAAGCCAGCCTGAGCCCTTGCCCACCTGTGGGAGTGCAGGGTGGCTGTGCGTCTAGATGTTGACCATGGATAGCCATAACTGGAAGGTGGAGCACAGGGGACAAAGAAGGACACCTGCAAACTTGGGTGGCAGGCTAAGAGTGTGAACGTGCATTTTCTAGCCATTTTCTGTAGCAGCATCCATAACCCGAGAGAGTTCCTCCAGAGTCTTGATGGTATATTGCTCATTTGCATGACAGGGTTTGGCACAGGGCTTGGCTGTCACAGAGTTCATAAACGGCCACATTAATGCAAGAATCCTGGCCTACGTGACCTCTGGCCACAAGAGGGAGCTCGTTTCCTGTCCTTAGCAGGGACAGCGGTCTGAGTCTGGCTCCGGGAAGTGTGTCCAGTCTGTAAAAAATCGCTGCAGGGCGGGGTCTCACATGTGGCCATCACTTAATTATTTTATTACTGGCTCTTGAGCTGGGCCTTCTTGAACCAAAGTGACAGGATAGCTTTGAAACACCTAAATGCTGAGCTAGCATTTAATGAGCAGTATAAGCTACTAATGAACTGAGGATAGCCCTAGGATTATTTTCATTTTGGAAATGGAAAAATATGTGCTGGGAAGATGAAAACTCCTTTTCCTTAGGTGTCTTTACTGTGAGTTGCAAAGCTGGGAGCCTCGGGAGGTGGAAACGGGACGGAACAGGTTTCTCAGTCTAGAGACAAACGGGGGGGGGTGTTCTGATTGGTGCTGCTACATGGGGCTATGTGTGGGAGTTCAGGAGTTCTGCAATGAGCAGGGAGCTCTGTGTCCTACCTTAAATAATTTATAGGTCAAGGAATGAACTGGTTGAACCCAATAGCTTGTCGGGGCAGGGAGAGGGTGGATGGAGTGTGGGAACGTGGAGCAGGGAATACAAGAGGAGAACGCGGCTTCCCTGCCCCAGGGGATAAAAGGCTGGCATTGGGGCCTACGGTGGGCCAGCCTTGGGTCTTCCTTGACAATAGCTGGGTTGTGACTCTCCCTTCAGTGGCCTCTTCCAGTGATCTCCTAGAGGTTGGGCTTTAGGTGCCAGGAAGAGGTTAGGGTCACCTCCACTTTTTGTGAGGAAACTATGGAAGAGGGTTCTTCTAGAACAGTGTGCCCTTTGCTATTTTGTCCTGGAAGAATGTGAGGAACTATAAATGTGGTCCCGCTAAAGCCAATTTCCTGAGTTGCAGTGGGATTCTGTTGACATGTGTTGCTGTCTCTGTTTGGTGTGTCTTTCAGCGACGAAAATGCCACGATAGCCTACCACCTGCAATTTGGGGTTCCTTCAGAAGGTGAGGGCTTTATGAAGTACAGAATGAGTAAGGAGTTGGTGCGCGGCGTGTTGCTACAGAATCTGCATGATCGGGGAGTGCCTGGCTGTGAGACCTTGGGACTGGGTCCAGCGTCCCTCTTGCTCTACGGTAAGTGGAGGAAGTCAGGAAGGCAGAGTTGTGGTGAGCCAGGCTGAGGGCAGCTGCCTGGGGTCTGATCTCTGCACTGGTGATGTTCGCGCTCCGTGGAGGTTACACGGTCCCTGCCTTCCCCGAGCAGACGGAGTATTTGGGATAAAACAATTAAATGGTTAAGATGAGGACAGCTGAATGTTTCCTCGTTGTCGCTCACCCACATTTGAAGCCCCGTACCCCACTTTGCAATATTATTAGTAAGCTCTGTGGAAAGGCCGCGGTTTCACAAGAGAAGCAAAAGTACTGAATTTGAAATGAATAATGATCCCAACATGGGGAACCTATGTGTTTTTCGCTTGAAGGCCACTGAGTCTGTTACATTAATAGAGGGGCAGAACAAGGCAAAGTAGTCCGTGAGTATAGTAAACTCACTTATCTACTTTTTGAAACCAAGAGTGCGATGAGAAATTTGGCATGTTATTTAATGAGCCTGAAGGACACCCGCTTGTCAGAATCTGAGAACTTTGAAGACTTCGCACAAAACCTGTTGACAGGCCTTGGAGAGGTGCCTCCCTTGCGTCTGCACGAGAACTTTGGCTGGGCCTCTGGTCCCATGCCCCACTCTGATTCCTCTCTGGGCGAGGCATGGGCGCTTGTTAGCCCCAAGGCCGGCCATCTCTGATAGTCCATCACCCATGATCCATCAGAAATACTTTCTGCACACTAGTAGCAGTAAATAGTAGTTGCATGAATGAAAAAGGCCAATCAGGAGATGGGTTAGCAGCAGGCACAGTGCCAGCCGGCCTCGCACTAGAAGATAGAACAGAGAGATTATAAAGCACCCCTGTCGCTACATAGTGTGAGAAGGGGCGCTTATTATAATGACGCTTATTTCTTGATGATGGGAGGTGAAAGTAGGCTTAATCCTTGTCTAAGAAGGCAAAGAGTTACATAAAGCAGTTCTGAAAGCTTTCTTTTTCCCAAACAAATAGAAAGGATGACATTCAGAAGGTCAGATCTTAGGTCGCTGGGAATGAATAGTTTCCTCACAGAGCATCTGAATAAATTGCGTCTGTGGGCCAGACAGAGGGCATACATGTGGAGAGTGAAGAGGCTATACCCCCCTCTACAGGAATTTGAGAAAGAAAGAAAAAAAAGGAAAGAGGGAGGGAGGGAGGGAGGGAGGGAGGGAGGAAGGAAGGAAGGAAGGAGAGAAAAAGAAGAGAAGAAAAAGCAAGCCCTTCGAACCCCTCCTGTGGAAAGAGGTGAGAGAGGGGAGGTGCACCTGCCTGAGCTGTGTGTGGTGGCCACTGTGTGTTGTGACTGGTCGTGATTTTCTGAGCCCCCTCTGTACTATGGTGGTTACCAGCTTTTCCAAATGTTGGCAAGGAAGGTAGAGGAGGATGTTGAAAAAAAGTTGACAAGATGATTGGGTTGGGAAGGCCATACAGAGTAGGGCAAAGGGCAAGTGGCCTGTGAGCCTGGGCAGAGCTTGAGCAGATGGCCTTGGAGACACTTGCCCAGGGCCAGCCTCTGCATCGGGCCCCACGGATGCAGCGGGGAGCTAAGCAGAAGGTTCTACTGTTCCTCTGAGACATTTGTGCTGTGGGGGAGAGGGTGTTCCCATGACCCTATGTCCACTTTCCAGAGCATGCAGGTGCAGTATCTGTGCTGTTTGATATTTTCAGGAATATGAGTATCAGTCAAATGGAAGAGGACACAGTGACCATTTGGGAAGTGAGGAAGGAAGAAGAGAGACCTAGAAAAAAGGCAGGCAGGCTGAGGGAGGGGATGAGCTCGGGCAGGGATAGGCAGGATAGGTAGAGGCCCTTGGGAGGGGCCCAGTGAGACCCTGTGTGTTCTTAGGCCAGTTTTCCGTGTTCATGTACACTGTGAGCCTGAAGGTTAAACCTCCCCTCCCCCCATGACCCCCTGTGATCATCTGGGCCATTCGTGGCGAGCCGGGCAGCTGGTTTCCTACAGAGATAATGTTCCAGTTCTCAAACAACAATGATTCTTTTTTTTTAATTTGAATTTTAGTTAGTTAACCAGTCAATATTGGTTTCAGGAGTAGAATTCAGTGATTCATCACTTACATACAACACCCAGTGCTTATCACAAGTGCCCTCCTGAAGACCCATCGCCCGTTAGCCCATCCCCCCCCATCAACCCTCTGTTCTTTATCATTAAGAGTCTCTTATGGTTTGCTTCCCTCTCTCCTTTTTTCCCTCCTTCCCGTATGTTCATCTGTTTTTTTTCTTAAATTCCACATATGAGTGAGATCATATGGTATTTGTCTTTCTCTGACTGACTTATTTCACTCGGCATGATGCACTCTAGCTCCATCCATGTCATTGCAAATGGCAAGATTTCATTCTCTTTTATGGCTGAATATTCCTTAGTGTGTGTGTCTCTCTCTCTATATATACATACACCACATCTTCTTTATCCCTTCATCCATTGATGGACATTTGGACTCTCTCCATAGTTTGGCTGTTGTTGATAATAAAAGAGCAATGACTTAAAAATTCTTTTCTCCGTGTAATGAGAACTTTCAGGATTGCCTCTCTTAGCAACTTTCAAATGCACCATACAGCAATGGTAACTCCAGCCCTTGTGTTGTACGTCACATCCACGGAACTTACGTATTTTATAACTGGAAGTTTGTGCCTTTTGACCACCTTCACCCAAGCCCCCCACCCCCTGCCCCACAACCAGTCCGTTCTCTTTTTCTATGAGTTTGTTTTTTCCAGAGTCCACATGTGAGCTCACGCAACATTTGTCTTTCTCTGTCTGACTGATTTCACGTGGCATGGTGCCCTCGAGGGTCAGGGAATTGTTGTAATAGCTCTTACCTACCCCCTTCCCCGGTTTTTGGGCTACTTCACCTTTTGGATGTTTGGGGGCCCCGGGGATGAGGAGGGGAAATCTGTTTTACAAATGTAAAATGGCAGTCTGGCCTGAGTCATCTTGACCTGAGTTCGTTATTTTGTACTGTTTTCTCATAGGGGATGGAGTCAGCTAGTAGACTAAATGAGAAACAAAGGCAAAGACCAGATTTATGTGAGAGAAAAGAGGAAAAACCTGTAGGCAGTGAGAACGGTGAATCTTGTTTGCACATTTTTGTGGTAAACCGATGAGCTGGTTGCTGGCAGAGGGGCCGATGTGTGAGTTCCGTCCTTGAAAGGACTGCTTGGTATCAAGGAAAATCATTTGAGTTGTTTTATAGATTTTCCAGAAACTCCAGGAACGTTTAGCCAAGGAGCACTAATTCTCATGTGGGCGTGATTCTGCGGCCCCACCACACCCCCGGGGGTATTTGGTGATGTCTGGAGACATTTCTAGTTGTCAAGACTGGGTGTGTACGTGAGATACTAGCGTCTCGTGGGTGGAGGGCAGGGATGCTTCTGCACATCATACAATGCACAGGACAGCTCTCTGTGACAGAATTATCCAGCCCATAATGTCAATCGTGAGGACCCTGTGGTAGCACGTGGGCTGTCTGTGTGGTGTCCCCAGGTCCTTGCACAGACATCTCCTCCTCGGTCACGTCAGGTCCACAGCAGACCTTCTCACAAGCTACTGTAGACGTTTTAACAAACTGAAAATTTAGAGGTCGGTAGTGAGATTATGAAGAAGGACTGAATACTTAAATGTCCTCAGCACCCAACAGGCCTCATCAAAACGTTATTTATCATGAATTATGCCAAAGCAAATGAGCATTGTGTTATTTGAGGTGTGGGTGTGGGGGGTGGTGGGTGGGTGTGTGTGTTGACTGAAAAGAAAACTTCCTCTGTTAGGAATTTACAAGCATTTCAATTTTACAGAAGAGTTTATATTCAAACCCAATGAAATAAAATGAAAGCATAAATCTTTAAAATAATCACGATTTTAAAAAATTAGTGACTTCCGTTTGCCTGTATTCTCTTTTCAGAATGAAGGGGAGGATGTCCGTGTGTATCTGAAGGCAGAGCTCCACTGAGTTTGGGCAGGAGAGAATTCACTTTGTTTTCCAGAGAAGATCCTGCGAATTACCATGGAAGGCCTGGCAGTGACTTGGGGGTGGGGAGGAGGCTTCTCCTGATTCAGCATTTATGAAGTCTGGGCTCTGTGTCCAGCAGAACAGCCCCTGTGAACTAGCCCCGTGGGGTCTACTCTTGGCAAAGGCAGGAAGCCTGATGGAGCTGGGGTGATGGGGTAGGTGGGTGGGCCTTGCAGTGCGGGGTCACTGCTATTCTTGGAGCTCGAGTTGCCTCCACCCACACGTGCACTCTTTAGTGCAAAGGTGATGTTTCAGGCAGGATCCCGTCAACCTGTGCTGGTGGAAAGAGTGGGCAGGCATGAGGTGAGGGACAACTGAGCCAATCACTCGCTGAAGTCCTCCTCCCACTCCCGTCGTGGTATTTGATGTACCTCTTAGCAAGACTGTGAGGAAGGCACTTTACCAGACCAAAGCAGCAAAGTTCTGTGGCTAATTCCATGACCTGTAGCTGCCTACGCCAGCCTCAGGCACGTCATCCAGTATTACTGGGTCATGCGTAGCTACAGAATAAGATGTGTGTTTCTTATTTCACATCTCATTGCGCCGGTGACTCCTGAACACCGCTTTTGGAAACGTGGGTCCCTGTGTGTTTTGAGTTTTGAACACAACTGCTGTTTGGGATGGTTTTTGCACTTAACAGTTTCTCAGACTTCCATCAGAGGATCGTTAAGTCTGCTTACCCTGTGCACGCTGGTCCATGGCTTTTTATTGTCCCATGTGGCTAGGCTTCCTCTAAAACTCAGTGTCTTCACACACTGATCGCGTATCTCATTGAAGAGGATTCGAAACAGGAAGAACCACTCTCTGTTTGAAATAACCTGTTGGAGGCTTGATGCCAATTTGTTAGCAGGCCGGGGGGAATGTCAGCGACTGTATTGATCATCTACGGACATAGAATTGCCTAGCATGAGGAAGCAGAGGATTTGTTTCGTTGGGAAAATTGTTTTGCTGGAAATGTTCCAAGAGAGAGTGTTGTGGTCCTATCACGAGAGATTCTTAGCCCTGGGATCTCAGTTAATGGGCCGCGGGTGGACGTCAGTGTGAGGGGCTGCCGTGCACGGGGAGGTGTCCAGCTGTGAGTCTCGGGCTAGATTTGTCCTGGTCTTCCTGTGATCCAGGACTCTGGATAATGTGAACTTGTTTTCTTATTTAACTGGAGGGTACGTTTATTGTAACCTGCTATCTCATTTTGAGGCCAGTTCCTCAAACTAGCCAAATAGGTGCGTTTCCCTTCTTCCTCTTTATTTTTTACATGTCAAATGTAAACCGTAGCGTGTGTGTACTTTTGAGAACGTAATGAATAACTTTCATGGGGAAGGATTTAAAACTATTCACAATAAATTATTCTTGGCACAGTCGTGGTCACAGTCAGGTTTGTTTCACAGGTGTTGCGTCTCCGGGGCATGATGGGGCTGGCATTTTCTTGCAGTGAATGGTGCTGGAACTGATTTTTCATTTCCCAGAGGGCAGTTTCCCCTCCTGAATAAGACTGAGCTGGAGAGGCTGGAGTGAGCTAGGTCCTTCTCTGTTGCAGGGAGAGCAGGGAGGGGCCCCCCTCCCCTCCACTTCCTTCCAAGGCGCTCTCCCGGCAGGCCCAGGTGTCTGAAGGGCCGGGGCTGGAAGGAAGGGCCAGGACAGTGGGCTTTTCCCTTCTCCTTTGGAAAGCACTAAGACGCAACTACCAAGTCATACAGAAGACTTTCCATAGGTTTGACTTGGCTCCAGTGCTGTGGGAAGAACTGAACTTTGTGAATTAAGTATTTTGAGGTGTTTTGCAGAAGACTCCAGGAGATATCAGCGAAGAGGAGGACAATGATAAGAAAAGAAGCTGCTGGTCTCGTTAGGCAATGAGGCTCTGCACAGACCAGATAGGAAACAGCAAGACAAAACAGCCTGGTGTGAACATAGAGACAGACTTTGGGTTGTGGGTAGTCAGAGAAGAGAGCGGTCAGTGTCGTTTAATTGGAGAAGGCCTTGCCTAAGAAGGACAACACAGCTGAACCTGAAGCAGGGGTGGGATTGGAATAAACAGATTTGCTTTCCTTTACACGTGTTTGTGTCTGATTAGGTTGAGGTTCATGTTCTCATTCATTCATTTATTTTTATTTTTAAGTAGGCTCCATGCCCAGCGTGGAGCCCAACGTGGGGCTCGATCTCATAACCCTGAGATCAAGACCTGAGCTGATAGCAAGAGTCAGATGCTTAACTGACTGAGCCATCCAGCTGCCCCTTTTCCCTTTTAGCTCTGGGCTCTGCATGGATCCCTGCCCCGTTCAGAGTCTCATCAGTGCTGAGAAACCTGAGAGAAATCTCTGTAAGTCTTCCCTCCCCTGCTCCCCATTATGGTTTCCCTGCCTTACAATCCGCTCCTTCACATTGTCCCTGCGTTGCTGGCGGTGGTGTCCACAGGCAGTCCCCTCATCTTATACTTAGGAAAGCGAGGTCTGGAGAGGTGAATGGATGAGCCTGGAGTTCCGCAGTCTTGGGGAGCAATGTCCAGCCCACTAGGCGACCTCAGACCGTCAGTGGCCTCTGACTTTGGCAGGCTCTCTAAGGTCATGTTCAGTTCAGGCTTGATTGAATCCACAAAGAGTGTGCTCTCACAGGTGGTGAGAGGGGAAGGGATGAGTTAAGAGGTGTCCCCATCAGACTGTAGAAGACGCTCTGGGATGATAATGACCACCCAGGGCTCCCCTGAGGGCCTTGCAAAAGCACCCTCTGTAGGAAAGTGGGAAGAACTTACACTGACCCATTCAACAGGTGGTAAAACTGAGGTGTGCTCAGATCCAGTGACTTTCAAGATGCCTTCTGAACACAAGAGGCTGGAAAAAGAACAGAGTCAGATACATGTAAATGGAATCTCCTTTTGTCCGAAGGCTCCTGTGGTATCCCAGGGACTCATCTGTCCTGTTCTACCTATGCGTTTCCATTCCATTCCTGAGAATATTCGAAGCACCTGTCACCCAAGGTTGTCCTAAAAATGTCAGCATTTGAATTTATTTGTTATCAACGGTAGATTGTCCTGACCTAGCTTTGCCCTTTTCTTGTACCTCTCTTCTGTTCTGAATAAGAATTTATTCACAGGCTAAAGGATTATTTATAGATGCTACTATGAACGTGAAACGGAAACCACAAAGCCTGCCTCCGTGAACTGGCCGAGTACAGGTGTAAGGAGAGCATGGGGGAGGGGAGTTCCCCGATGATATCTGTGATCTGAGGGAGCAGTTTAAATCCTCAGCCTCCGTTTCTTATCAAGAATACAGAAATTCTTTCATTGACGGGTGACATCCCCGACGACATGAAATTGTATAAAATATTGTGTGTGTGTGTGTGTGTGAATGTGTATTTTCCATGAAGAGGGTTACATGGCTTTCATCAAAATCCTGAAATCTCTGGAAAAGAGGATTAGCATTATATACAGACGAAGCACTCCCGAAGGGCTCTCCTGCTCAAAAATCATTCCCTTCCATCATCCCTCTGAATTTCGTTATAAGAACAAATCTCATTGGCGAAGTGTTTATACTTAACATATTGCTGGTAAGTAATTGGGACAAGTAATACTTTCACAGGAGAAGACTCAAACTAATATAACTTATATTGTACTGAAGATATTTAAACCAGTCAACTTTAGCAATGGTCCAATGTCCAAATGACACATTCCAGTATAAAACCAGCGATTCCATTTCTAACCCAGTGGAAGATTACTGGATGACCCTGATCATCAAGCACATCCACACATGTTTTTCTCCATACGTCATGAAGGTTTTTGTCCTCTTTGCTCTTTAATATCATTTATTCAGGATCTGCGGTAAATGAATTACATACATTAGATGCAGCCCTCCTCCTTATGGGTGATAAAGCTGAACCTTCAAGTTACATGCTCAAGGTCACAGAGGGAGGAAGGGATAGAGCCAGGATCTGAATCATTGATTATCTGACTCTAGTGTCCACACTCTTTCCCTAAGTGAATCCCAGCCAAGGGTCAAGGTTAGGGTTCCATAGGGTTCCATGGCTGAAAATGGGAAGTTAGCAGAGGACAAGATACCCAGATGTGATTGGCTCTTAGCTGAAGACCACTGACTGCCTGAAGTCTCAGCAAATGTGTGTTGACATGTCCAACCTCATGTCACTGAATTTCTCCTCCCTGGCATTTAGTGCATTTTAAGTAAGTTATTAAACTTTAGTTACTTTGGGGGACAAAACAGTAATTAAACACATAATTTTATGTACTACTTTGTCAACAAACCTTTACTATTTTAACACCCCTAAAATTAAGGCGGTTAAAAAAAAACAGGAAGTTGAGAACACAGCTGTGAATATAGAAATAGTCTAATTTGCTAATTGTTCTTGGTCTCACTCATATCATTTGTGGTTTAATATTTTCATGCCAGTTTATTGGTACCAACTCTTATGAGTTACAATACCCAAACACATTTCTGTTAAGTTTATCTCCCAAGTATCATCGTTTAGGCCTGGGGTCTACAAATTTTTTCTGAAGAGGGCAAAAAAATAAATATTTTTGGCTTTGCGGGACCGTCAGTGTGTGTCACAACTACTCAGCTCTTCTGTGGCTGAGAAGCCATAGACAGTATGAACTTGTATACAGTATAAACGAATAAGCATGGCTGTGTTTCAATAATGTTTTATTTATATATAAAAAAAAAGACAGTAGGTCAGATTTAGCCTGCGGGTCACAGTTTGCTGACCTCTGTTTTAGGGGATAGATGGAATTCTAGGAATAATGAAGAAAAAAGTAGGAAAAATAATCAGAACACACAGAGACAGGCTCATTAGAGAAGGGGTATGTGTGTGGGGATGTGTGTGTGTCATTTTTCTCATATGGACTTTTTTCATATTTTATACATGACATATTAGTTCATCCACACACACACACCACACAGTTGAGTAGAGGCTCTTCTAGGTAGTATGTTGGAAGAGTGCTGAATTGGAAACCAGGAAATCAGGCTCTGGATAAAGTTCTGTCACTAACTTGCAATGTACATTGCGTTACTTCTCTCTGAGCAAAAAGGATAATGGGATTAGAGTGTCTCCATAGGTCTTTCTACTCTACCATTCTCTAATGCTGTGATTTTCTTAAGATTTCTAGGGAGAAACACGAGGTTAAAAAATATGGACTAAAATTATATTAAAAATTATATAAAAACCTGATATAGAACTTACTGATTCAACTCACATAACCAACAAAACCACAAGGGTCAACAAGTCAAAGGACACGATGCAAAGGACACGGCTAAGTGGCACAGGGTGAGAGAACACACAGGTTGCCACCTGGAAGGCTTGGAGTGAGGGGTTGGGCCTTCAAACATGTGTGGAACCAGTGGAACCCCTTGGCACACTTAGTACGATGGATAAGGCTTCCTTGTGACTCCAGGAGACAATCATGTGGACATTTTATGGAGAAGAATCTGGACAGAGGAGCAGACCCTTTGTGATGCTCATAGCTGTAGGGGACCAAGAAGCCCCTCCCTCCACTGAGCTAAGTGGTCCTTTTCCAAAGCCATTTGGAATCAAAGATGGCCACTCCGTTCTCAAAGAGCGGTGTTCGGGATAGGTGGTTGGTCTTTGGATGATGAATATTGAGCTGGATCTAAGAGGCCCTGTGGTTGGCAAACCAGATTCTGCAGAGACCCCTGTAGCAAGGGCTGTTCTGTGTGTGGAGGGGGGTAAGCCTGAAGGGCTCTAGACCCCACACCTGCTTCAACCAGAGCCCCGCACCCCCAGTTTTTATTTACTGGTATTAGACAAGTGCTGGTCCAACTATTTCATTATAAATAGGAAACCTGAGTCTTCGACGGTGGCAGAGGTAGATGTGGCTGTTGCAGGGAGTGGAAGAAGATTTTCCTAGGGACTACAAGTTCATATTCATCTTCTGGGGAAGACAAATGCCTTGGGGAGGAAGGCACCCGGAGAAGTGTGTATGAAGTCTCGGTTTCTCCCAAGGACTTCCTGGATGTCTTGGTCTTGGGGGAAACATTCTCATAGCACCCCTCACCGGAGATCCCTGACGGCCTTCTCCCAAGGACGCCATGATTAATGAGGGTGTAGCAGAGATCCTCCGAGGAGCTCTGATCAGCATCGTCCTGCTGGTCAAAGAAGAACCTTATCAAGAGTGAGCCTCTTGCCATTCCCTTTATATACTCCAGGCTCAACACAGACCCAACCCTGGCCAAAATCTGTCTTCCATGACCATCTCTCCTCCAACCCCTGGATGTTTTTCCTAATGGCTGCCCCCACCCCAACCACTAGCCCAGGCATCCAGACAGCTCATGCTGTCCGGAGTATTCAGCCTACCCAGGCATGTCCTCTCTGCCCCATGTTCCAGAGTGACCCCTGACTATCCCAAGTCATATATATAATTCCCAAGTCTCAGACCCTGAGGGCAGCACATTTTTATATAAGAGAACAATCTGAGGCCACCTTGGCATGACAACTTATGATATTTAACCACTCATTCTAGAGATTTTTGCATGATTAAAAAGGGAAACCACTCAAAAGAAGCTCCCAGGCAGTGGAATCTCAAGAGATAAAAAGCAAAGCAGCAAAGTACAAGAGGGAGAACCTTGGATCTGGGACTGAGGCTTGGTTTTGAATCATGCGCCTGACTTCTTGTCAGCGTCTGGCTTGGGAAGAATATCACTTGGTCTCTCCATTTTCTCATTTGTACAACAGGGGAAATAATAGTGCCAGTCTTATAGGGTTGCCATAACAGCGACATGAGACACTCCAGGCAAAGCTCTCAGCACACTGCCTGGCATCAACAAAGGGCTCCAGATATATTAGCCCCTTTCAGTAAGATGTACAACAGAGGTGGCTGATGCTGCTGCCACCAGGCTCTGTACAGGGCCCTGGGCCGACAAGCCCTGGCATCTAAAGTCTTTCTTTCATATCAAGGTTTGAAGGGGTCTTGGAGGCCAACTTCTGCCATCTGGGGCATCTGCATTGCTACTGGCTTCTCAGAAAAGCGTTCAGAGGTGTTTGCATTACCTGCATGGGAGCAGATGACATTCCTTTATCTGGAGAAAGAAAATACAATCAATCTCAGGTCATGGAGAGATTTGAGAGAGGATGGGGAGTGGGGGGAGGGGTGGACACGGGGACATAAGCAGTCAGAGAGCAAAACAGTGGTCCATCAGGCTATTCTGACCTGCGACACACCCCTGGGGAATGACAGGGCCAGCTAAAGAAACAGCAGAGCTGTTTGGGGCTGAGTGGAGGGAGACATATTCGGTGGGGTTTTGGAAGGGAAATCATAATTCCCTCTCTCCCCCCCACCCCTCCCTCCCTCATACAAAATTCATTGCATACCTACCCTGTACCAGGCACTGTGGAGACAAAGAAAAATCAGAAACAGTTCCTGTCCTCAAGGGGCTCACAGGTTAGCATAGGAGGCAGACAAGGGCCCCTGAGGATCCACGATGAAAAAGAGGACTGTTGTGTCTACTGCAGGTGACAGGGGATGATAGTAGTGGGGGGCTGGTGCTCAGGAAGAGCTTGACGGAAGGAAATTCTTAAATTGAGCATTCCCATTCCTGAATTTGCTAGCAGATACACACAAAAGCTGGCCAGATTTTCAAAAGCCAGTTTATTTAAAAGCAACTGGCTATGGCCACTCAGCAAAGAGGCAAATGGACGCACTCGCTAGCCCCTCGCAAACACACAGGCTCAATAAGCCAACGTGAACTTTCACACGGAAGCCGCAGGATGCCTTCCTACATAGGAGGTGGGTGTGCCCCTGCAGCCCATCTTATTTATTATATTATGGATTTACCTTCCCTCAGGACTGACATCCCAGATTCTCACATCTCCATAAATTCCCGTGGCCATCTAGGACATCTCTGATTATCACTGTGAGGAACATCTGTGAGTTTTAGCATTAGAGGTCTTATCTCCGCCTTGCTTTGCTCTGATGGCGATTGGGGTTTCCTGGGCCCCACCATTCCCTGGGGTGACGCTAGGGGTGGGAGGGTCGTATTATTCACGCATACACTTTACGGAGCTAGTTTGCAAGACTCAGAGTGAATGAATTAGGCTCTGCTCTTTAAACCCAGGAAGGCAGAGGCAAAACTCCATCACTTTTCTTCTTTAGAAATACAGTGGCCTGTCCTCAGGCCTATATTTCCTTTCTCTCTTTCTTGCATGTGATGCTATTCACCACCCTCTCCTTCTCGAATTTCTTCTCCTTAGCTGCAGTCCTCTTCTGTCTCCAAAGACCATTGCCTCACCCCCTAAGTGATCTTCCAGCATCTGCTCTTGCCAGGCGCTAGTGCAATGTGTTCTCTGCACAGCAACCCAGGCGGTGTCTTTTCATGCAAAGGGCATCATACCAGCCCCTTGTTTAAAGCCCCTCAATAGTTTTGCAGTTCTCAAGACAAAAACTCCAATCCTAAACTTGCCTACAAGGCCCCGCCCCTCCTCGTTGCTCTCTGTGACCCTCCACCCTTCCAGTTATTGTTCCCAGTTCACCCCTCTGGCCTCCAGACCTCACGGAGGAATACGGAGATCAGTAGCCAGTTCCTGCTTCGATGAGCTCAGTCTCGTGGAGAGAGACACAAGCAACTGGATGAGTGACACAGATCCACACGTAAGTATTACACTGGAAGGACGACACCCAAGGAGCTTGGGAAGCACAGAGAAGGGGCGGTGTGGAAATGTAAGTCTATCCAAAGTAGAAAAGATGAGAAAGCAATGACTTACTCTCCTTTGAGGAATCTGGCTTTGCTTTACAAATGCGTACTTTTTTCCTGAAAAAAGGAAAGGAAGGAAAATTGGTGGTTTCAATATTCAGAAACTCTCAAAGGAAATGACACTGGACTCTAAAACCTTATCTTTAACTCTTTCATTTGTTAAAGTTATACCTCCTTTAGCGTGGAGGAGAACGAAGATAGATAAAAGGAAAAATGAATGATAAGACCAAGTAGAAATCTCCACCTTTGTGTGTGTGTGTGTGTGTGTGTGTATCTCTCTCTCTCCTCCCTTCTCCCTTTTCTATGGGTTGAGGTAGAACTGATTTATAAATGGAGAACTATGGTGATGACATCGGTAAATATTTGGGGATTTTTTTTCTAACAAAATAGCAATTTCTTTTATATCATGTGACATAAGGAGCCAAGGTTATTTCCAGTTCCAACCCCAAGGCTGATCTCTGATCTCCAAGCAAGCAATCAAGCAAACGTGGCCCATGTGAGCACCAGGGGTAACTACTCTGTAGAGCCGAGTCCCCCAGAGGAACACAGTCTAAATATAATGGAAGCTCATTATCATCTCAGGAGACAATGACATGTGTGCCAAGCAGCATGACCATATGTCCCACTTGGCTTAGGGAGTCTGGGTAATGTCCTTATCAGTCACTTAGGGACCCCAAATTATTTGTAGCATGCCTTTCACTCTCAACGCCTTCCCAGGGTGTCAGATGACTTATATGATCACCCTGGCTGTGAGTTTTCTGTGCAAGGGCCAGAAACGGGTGCTTCCACACACGGAGTCTAGCACTTACAGTGTGAGGAGTGGTCTTTCTCTCTACTGTAGCCACTTTCAGCCTTGCTTCTGAGGCTTTCTGGTTTGAGGAGCACCATCAAGACTATTGTTCCTGTTTCTCACCAGGCTCTAATTGTCACTTTCCTGACTGACTCTCAGATGACTGAGTCTGGGGAGTCACAGGCTTCCCCTGTGGCCACAGACAGTGGGCAGTTACAGATGATTTACAGTAAATACCACATTGAAACCACACTCAGGGAAATAACTCTTGAAAACAATTCTCCACTCACCATGGAAGGCAGAAACACCTTTCGGCAACATAGCGGTCCCAGCACCTAAAATAACCATGAGATGACACAAGTCACCATGTTCGTTTCTGCAGCTTGATTAGGGTGACTCCTCTTTGCCAGTTCTGTGAAAAACCCTTTTTTCCTCTCCCAACCCCCAACACAGTATTTATTCTAGACGACTTGGACACATCTATCATGCTAGAATGATTCCTTCTTCCCAGAACATGAACTGCCCCTTTGGAAATATGAAGACGATGCATATCAACTCCTAAACGGGGAAGGAACTTTCTGCTGTTGATAGGCATCCTCTCCATATTTCCAAAGGGGCAGTTCATATCCTGGGAGGAAGGAGTCATTCTAGCATGATAGATGTGTCCAAGTCACCTAGAAGAGCTTGCTCATCCCTGATTTCAATGATTTACTTGGCCTCTTATGATGAAGGACACACAAGAGTCATCTCCAGGAAATGACGGTATCAGTGCGTGGACATTTTAGAAATTTCTTTCTGGTACAGGTTAAGCAATATTTATAGTGAATTCTACTGTACTCTGAATTTCTCCTATTTATACTATAATTATAAATGTATACCACATTATAATTGTTGGGTTGAAAAAAACCCCAAAACAACACTGGCTCAAAATGGTGTCACTTGGACTGAGTTCCCAAACTGGTGCTTAAAACATAATTGAATTGCAGTTTCAACCTCCTCCATCAATGTAGTCTTAACCCATCAGCCGGGAATCCTTCAATTTGTGCCATTGAGTCTGTCACCTGGCCTTCTCCATCCCCACAAAAAGGTGAGGTAATCTGCATGATAAGACACCTTGCTTTTCCCCTCAGGAAGTAGTAGCCTCACCTGGAATTATGTTTTTCTTCTGCTAATTACTTTCTTTTCTCCACCCTCCTTCTATATACAACTCCTTCGAGAGCCTCTCTACCTACTAGGTGGGGTGTTGCTGATTCGTGAATCATTTAATAAAGACAAGTAGATCTTCCCATTTACTTGGTTGAATTTTGTTATTTAACAGTTCATTTGTTTACATCCTACACTAGAGATTCATAAAGTCGGGGACCGTATAGATTTATTTTGTTCATCGCCCGCATAGATCACCAGCATGTGCCAGAGTGGCTGGTAAATCTATTTTCAATAAATATTTGATAAATGAATGAGTAGCCTAGAACAGAGTAACTCTAACTGGCTCAGGTCATCAAATCTGCCCCCTTGACCCAAGGGACACGTAAATTAACAGGACTTGGGATTTCTTTTAAGGTAGGCAGATCGTTCTGCAGGCAGACATCCAGGCTGACGTCTATCATGCTGGGCATCTTTCTGAACTTGAGTCACAGTCAACTACTTAGGTAGTTGAATGTGAAAGCCCTGCATGTCCCAGTAACACTATGTTAAAAGGGTCTGTAAAAATACCATCTAGACATATCCCCCCCAAAGTGAGCTTCCCAGGGAGTTCCCTTGCAAAGGGTGCTGGAGGAGACGCTGTGGGCGCCAGCATGGCAGAGTGTTCTGACAGCAACTGGGGATCCCTGTACCCCCAGAGTTTGAGGGCTGAAAGGCATGGCCCCTCTTTGTGCGACTTTCAGCCGTTGTTTCTATCTCCCGTTTCTGTGGCTGAAGAAACGCCAGAAGGAAACCACTGAACCTCACCAGTGCTAAGAAACTGGGTTCCCTGAGAAGATTTGGGTGATGAGAAAAGACGGGCGATTTTGAGTTACTGACGGCACCAGGATCTTTGGAAAACTTGAGCCATGGTTTCTTTGTCGTAAAATGAAGATGCTTACACTGCTTACCTCATGGAGTTGTAAGGGTCACGTAAAGTTAAATATGGGCAAAAGCTATTTTCAAGCTTGTTATTGCCCCCACTCAGTTTTTCTGTCATGTATTCTTGCATTTCAGCATGGATGTTTTGGTTTGGGGTAGGTTCTGCAGGAGACCAGATGCATCTCTGGGACGCCACACTCTGTGCCAGAAGTTCCAGGTTCCTGTCTCTTACATAAAGCTTCCCTGGCCCCCTAGTCTACCCAGTCTCTCCCTTGTTATAATGCCCATGACCCTTTTGGTCTGGTTCATTATTTGGAGTATATGCTTTAACACATGTCCAGGGATATCCCCCAAATAGATGATCCTTAGCTTGCCCTGAAGACATGTACTGTAAAAATACCATCCAGACATATCCCCAGTGATACAGTACAGATCCCTGTTGGGGGATCTTTGGGTGTCCAGCTCCTAATACAAGCTTTGACTCAGTGGTTGCTTTTTAATTTAATTGATACTCTTTCAAGAGCTTCTCCTGAAACCATGGGAAAAGGGCAGATAACTCTATAGGCCACAGAACAACCGGCTTTGCTACTCTTTGGAATTCTTGGACCCTGAGACCCTAGTTCCATATTTGAGTGATTCCCTGGCACTCAAAAGGACTAGTCAGAAAGGGTTCATGAGGAAATCTTGGTCTAACAGCATCAGGGTAATTGCAAGTGTCTCTCTCCACAAACCTTTTAACGATCATGTGGGAGATGTAGTCACCTCAGCAATAGAAACTTAAAGAGTTTAAAATGGAATGGTCAGGATGGAGCTTGAGCACAAAGGTACTTGAGCTAAATGAACAGAGGCAGCAGACTTTACTCTTCATGGGCAAAGGCTGGGAGAAGGTTTGTTGGATTTGTTCTCACCCGGATGTTCTCTGTTCGAAGCTTTGGTTTTTCAGAGTCCAGGGTATTTCTTGAGTGTCCTGCTGCCACCTAAAACCCAACATATCAAGAATGAGCTAAGTTCTTCCTTTCCGGGCTTCCCTCCTCGATTCCCAATTTTTCCAACTTTTGTCATTTCTGCCATTTGTGTGTCATCCCGGCATCACCTCGGCTTCCGCCTGTTCCCCTTAGATCTGTTCACAGCTTCTCTTTAACATACATGGCAACCTTTTATCTGACGCTTCCTCATTACCGTGGCAACAGCCCACCCACTGACATTCTCTGACAAACTCCACACACCACCGGTCCTAAATCATTTGTTCCCATGCGGCCAGGATTGCTCATGATGACCATGAGACTATCAGCATATGGAGAGGCCTATCCGCTTGGCGCAGTCTTCGGGATGGTGCATGGGGATGGGGAAGGGTACTGGCCTGTCTCAGGTAAGTCATCAGCTTTCACAGCACCAAGGCAGAGAACATGGGATAAGAGGAGAAGAAAGGATTAAAGAAAGAAAATAAATCTGTTCCTTGTGCGGGTTGGGTTTCTGTATAACCATTTTTTTTTCACTTGTGGGGATTTGAGAGTATAGAGAAAAAGAAACTAAAAATTAACTACTACTGGGGCGCCTGGGTGGCTCAGTTGGTTGGACGTCTGCCTTTGGCTCAGTCATGATCCTGGGGTCCTGGGATTGAGCCCTGCATCAGGCTCTCTGCTGGGCGGGGAGCCTCTTCTTCTCTCTCCCTCTGCCTGCCACTGTGCCTACTTGTGCTCGCTCTCTCTGTCTCTGATTTTATTTATTTATTTGAGAGAGAGAATGAGCGAGAGAGAGAGAGCATGAGAGGGGGGAGGGTCAGAGGGAGAAGCAGACTCCCTGCCGAGCAGGGAGCCTGATGCGGGACTCGATCC